GCAAAGCTCAATTTATCAATAACTTAAATTGTTAACCATTGTGGCAACGTCAGTCTTTTATTTGCCATGGTAAACAGATTTTTGTAATTTTTGGCCTAATAACTTAAAGAGCAGAGTGATTTTCAAACTCAATTTACTCGAAAACCATTGGAAAAACCGATTTGGACAAAGATAATATTTTTTACGTAAAATTGTTAAGATTTTATAAATCTGTAGAGAAAATTGTAAAAAAATTGAAATAAAAAAAATTAGGGGCCGAAAACCCCCTTCACCAACCTAAAAGGGACGCATATGATTTGCATGTCGAAAAACGGAGTAGCCCATGTTATTTAACGTAAAAAGTTATGTAAGACCCATAAAGTTTTTTCTATTTACTTGCGACCGTTTTGTCAATAACAGAAAAAGACCAGTTTTGTTTGAGCCCTTTTAAGGGCATATAACTTCCTAAGGGTGCGTTTTAGGGCACATGTTAATAGGAACTTTTTGGCTTATTTTAATGAGTTATAAACGCAGAAGAAGTTTGGAACCCTATTTGAGAAACACCCTGTATAGTTTGATGACGATTCATCTAACACTGACTTGAATTCTACTCGTGGACTCAAGAAAAAATAGTTTATTGGAAATGGTTTGTTTATCCATATCTACATAAGGTTCTCTGATCATCAGATAACTTTCAATCAAACCATTTTCCACGTCACCATTAGATTCAGTATTAATTTTACAATTAGGTAATTAATATAAGTGAATTGCAGAGATAGTATAGGTACCGTACCAAATGAAAGCTTGTATCCTCGAGTCTTCTAGGGCACCTACATAATGATTAAAAACTATGTTTTAAATCTTTAAGGAAAGGTAGAGCCATTAGGAATCGTTTAAGAAAAAAAATATTGGTTGTCCTTGTTTTTTTTCACGTTTTTAACGAAGAATGCCACTTCTTGAAATGTGTGAGAACATTACTATTACACCCCGTATAATGATGGCTTCCATTGGTTGTGTATTCTAACATCAGGACTAAATATACAGTGTCCCCCTAAAGTCGTGCACAAATTCATTATTAGGTAAACAAAAGAAATTATTAAAAATTCCCGAAACAGGTCAATTTTTGAATTTAATTTACTATTTTTTCAAATAATAATTTAATATACAGGGTGATATGGTATATGTTTCTAGTAATGACGTCATCACATTTTTTTTTAAATGGAACACCCCACTTTTTTCCAATTTTCGGATTGCCCTAACTGAGCTGATTCCAAAAATATACAAGTTGCTTCTAATTGTTACAGGGAGGACAACAATACCCAAATTATTTACAAATACTAAATTTATTTACAAATAAATAAACGTACTAAAAATTGAATCAAATCACCAGAAACACCTAAATTAAATGTTCAAATTGTTGACCATTTACTGTCAAACAATGGGCCAGACGGAAAGTAAATTCTTGCTGTACATTCCCAATGACTTCAGGCGGGATCGCTCGAACTTCTTGCCGAATTCGTTCCTTCAGATCGTTAATACCGTTTGGTTTATTGACGTATATTTTGCTTTTTACATAACCCCAAAGAAAAAAGTCGAGTGGTGTTAAATATGGTGATCTGGCGGGCCATTCCTTAGGCCCTCTTCTGCCAATCCACCGATGAGGAAACACGTCATCTAAATAGCGGCGAACAGCGCTGGCATAGTGCGGTGGTGCACCATCTTGCTGAAACCAAATGGTTTCATTGGGCAAATCTGGATCTTCTTCATTTGGAAATAGAACACTCAAGGAAGGAACTAAATGGAACTGAAGAAATTCCAAATATCTTGCACCATCTAAATTTCCTTCAAAGAAATACGGCCCCAAAATTCGATTACCAACAATTCCGGCCCAAACATTGACCTTTTGGGGATGCTGAGTGTGTGCTTCCATCATCCAATGTGGATTGCGATCTGACCAGTACCGACAATTCTGTTTATTGACGGTGCCATTCAAATAAAAAGACGCCTCGTCGGAGAAAATTATGCGTTTCACAAAATCCGGATCTGCCTGACATTCTTCCATCATCATTTCGCAAAATTCTGTGCGTCTGTCGAAATCATCGTCACATAATTCTTGTACTAAGTGGACTTTGTAGGGATGATACTTGTTTCTGTGAAGAAGTCTACTCAATGTACTTTCACTCATTCCTAAATTATCTGCTACGACTCTCAGACTGGATTGCGGGTTTTCATGAATGGTCAAAAGGGCTTGTAACTGCACTTCTTCATCTACAGTCGGTCGGCCAGATCTGGGCATATCTTTAACATGACCATGATTTCGAAACTTTGCTTCAGTTCGGCTAACCGTGGATCGATTTATTGGTGGACGATTGGGATGAATTTCATTAAACAAAACACAAACTTCCTCATGAGTTCGAATTCTATCACCATATCCGATCATCATAAGAATTTCAATCCGTTCGGTTTCACTTAGAATCATGTTTTTTAATTAATTCAAAAATACTCAATATTTTAAGGAAGAATCATTCAAAATGGATTTACTTGTACAATCTTAACAAACTATTTAAAAATGATTGCCTGCAAGAAATACACGAGCACGTTCTATCAGGCAGATAAAATTAAAAAAGCATCAAAGAAATTATAGCAAAAAATAATGACATTTTAAAATGATATGTGGTGATTTGATTCAATTTTTAGTACGTTTATTTATTTGTAAATAAATTTAGTATTTGTAAATAATTTGGGTATTGTTGTCCTCCCTGTAACAATTAGAAGCAACTTGTGGTATATTTTTGGAATCAGCTCAGTTAGGGCAATCCGAAAATTGGAAAAAAAGTGGGGTGTTCCATTTAAAAAAAATTGTGATGACGTCATTACTCGAACATAGGTCACCCTGTATATTAAATTATTATTTGAAAAAATAGTAAATTAAATTCAAAAATCGCCCTGTTCCGGGAATTTTTAATAATTTCTTTTGTTTACCTAATAATGAATTTGTGCACGACTTTAGGGGGACACTGTATAATATTTCCTTATAGGGAAAATATTTTAGTATCTTCTTTAAATATAAATTCGAAATTTATGTCAATCATTATTACTCACAATATATTTTTATCGTTCCGCATCAATGTAATAACTTACTTGGAATAATGTGTTGTGCGGCCTCAGGAAATAACTGCTTAATCTGCTATCTTTATTTTATCAAGATTTATAGGATTTTTTCGTGCACGCTAAAAATATCTTGCCGGTCTATTTTCGTGTAGTCGCCTACGTAAACCGATTAGGAGTTTAAAATATTTTCCTCCTACTGCTTTTTATATTGATATAAATAAACGACGTGGATCAATTAAGTCAGGCTTTTTATCCGTAAACTTTGAACGAAATGATCTCATTCCGCCGACTATAACCGGTTGCAGTATAACAACGGCTCGAAATAAATCTCTCGTTCCACCGAAGACACACGAAAATAAACAAATTTTTTTCGTAACAAATTTTCAAACTGGCATCGTTTCAATGCTCTATATACAATTACACATCAATATAATGCTATAACAGTGAGGTTAGTAATGCACATGACACATGTTTACTATACCAAAATAAATTCACCGACTGTGCCACGCTAGTGCTGCTTTTCTGTTTGGGTTTACACTTCAGGCATGGACTATGTCTTTATTGAAAGTGAGATATTAAAATTTATACCGTTTATAGTTTTTTTTGCTCTTAAATTTAAATATAAAAGGACGTAAATTGTGCAATGAAATTGACATAAGCACTATAAACAAAGAAAATGTAATAGAGCCAAAAGAAAAATTCACATCTGAGCAGTAATTATGGTGTGTAACACTTGCTTATTTTTGTATTGTCATAATAGGAATCAATATATATTTTATTTTGTAATAAAACTATCGTGGTTGCTTTGAATCAAACCTAAGCTGTCCACACGGAATGCGATAGCCAGTGTTTATTTGCCCTTGAGATAATGTAATTTATGAGTACCGAAATGTAGCCCAGGATGCCGAAACTGAGACAGGGTGTTCTTTGTGACAGTGGTACCTGGCCAGCGCCCGAATAAGGTTGACATTATAATGTGTGTGCTAGCTTGAATACATTGTTTAATGAATTGTGAATTTGTGAGTAATATGCCATACTTGTTTATGTTTATGAATACCTCAGTACACGCCACGTCCTAATGGTTGTGGTTCCTTCGAAGTGTGCCTTGTAAGTTCTCCGGGGTCTTACCTACGTTTCGATTGTGATGACATAATAATAGTATGACTCACACACCCAGTAGTTGTGATGCTAACTAGTTGACGTCCGGGGGAGAATCGACTAATTTCAGGTGACACTAGCTAGTTGTTGAAGAAAGAATGATACATGTTTGCTAATTAATGTAATGGAAATGTATGGAAGGATATATCTTGAATCCTAAAGTTAGGGGGAGTGTAACCCCTCGGTGAGTTACCTATTTATTTGTTTTTTATTGACAGAACAGTAAATTTGATATTTGTTTCATATACCCTCTTAATTTCTGGCGAATGACCCACCTGTTGTCGAGATAAACTGATTTGTGTTAACCCTTGTATAAAAGGTAACAATACCAATAATAACATTTATTTTACAGGTCATTACTTATCCTAGGGAACACTAAGTACCGATAAGTATGTGGAATTTGAAATTAAAACCAGTTAAACTGAGATATTAGTTAAGTAATTAAGTTGAATTAATTGGAATTAGAGTAATAATTTTATATAAAATCTACAAGTGAAAGAGAAGAATAAAAAACATTTACTTTTCTTTTGATATGAAACATCCTATTTTCTTGTAATTTCAGAGCAATATATTAAAAAACACTTGCATTTAGACATCACATCATTATTGTCAGTCATTGTTCATAATCATCGCTATATTTCAAAATATTACACGCTGATTAAAAAAAAAATAGTTCATATAATAAAAATATCCAGTCTGGCAGCTGTAAGGGTGAATTTATTTTTATGCATACGAGTTTAAGCATGCCTTACCTTATTTTCGATTTTGAGCTTTTTGGCAGGTGGTGGCGATGAACTTCTGTCGTCTGTGGGCATGGAAGGCTGCATCTGGACCGCGGTAGAAGCACCCACCTTGGCTTGTTCCGGTTTCGCTGCGGATCCTTGGGCAGTGGCGGCTGCTGGGCTGGGCGGCGGGCCCGGGGACGGCCCCGACGCGGCCCCCTGCGGGGGTCCGGGACCAGTACTAGCCGGGAACACAGACCGTGGCGGCCCCGACTGAGGAACACTCACTCGCATGATACCGTTCATCTCGGCCACGGACACACTCACAGCACTGGAGTTAGGGTTCGGTTGGACGACCGCCTTGGGGTTGGGGTTGGGCTTGTCGTTGGAGGAGGAAGATGAGGAAGAGGTCGAAGACGACGATGAAGAGGAGGAAGATGAGGACGACGAGGATGACGACGACGATGAGGAGGAACCGTGCTTATCCCGTGCCTTGTCTCTGCGGTGACCGCTCGAACCGCGCTTGCTGTTGCCCGACGAACTGTTGGAGGACGCCGAGGCCGGAGAGGCGGCGTTGGAGGCGGTGACGGCGTGCTTACCCGTGGACATCGCAGCCCCCTTCATTTCCGCCTGGTCAACGCTGCCGTTCTGTTCGTTGGACTTGACGATTTCGTGTTTCGCTTCCGACGTCTTGGTGCCCGGTTTGGTTCGTTTGATTTTCATTTTGAGGCCTTTATCGGTGGTGGCCGAGTGCTCGATGTGCATCTTGGCGGTGGCCGCCGCTTTAGAGGCCTGGGGCCCGCCCCCCGCATTCGCCGCCATCACGGTGTTCGTCTGCTGGCTGATGGTCGCAACCTCGTTGGTCTTCTCTATGTCCGCATCCAAGTCGATGATCAGATCCCCGATGCCTATATCCCACTCGTTGTCATCGTATTCGAAGTTCGAGGGCTGGGTAGTCGTCGTAGCGGTGTCTGGCTTCGCCGTGGCGTTCCCGCTCCTGGAGTCCGCCACCCTCGCTCGGTGGCCCGCTTCTTGCGAGCTGGATCTCATTGGGGTCGCCATGCGCTAGTCCGGGCCCCGCCGCCGAGTCCCTGCCCCGCGGCGCCCGACAACTCCAAACACTGCATCTTATCCCTGCAACAACAAACAGAACCACGTATCAGTTACGAGCATACCCTTTTACCTCTCAAAATGTTGACTTAAACTAAGTTAGAACAATATTATATTGTGCGTTCAATGAATACACATTAAATGTACCGCTTGTCATGGCTGCTACATAACATACACATAGTGTGTTTTAATTACATATGTACATACTTTAAAATTATATATCTATCTACGTATGTACGTCAACTTAATAAATCAAGCCATTAGGATTTCTAATTAATATTTGAAAAGCTTACAATAAATAAATAAATCACTGAAATTTTAGTGTACCCGTAATGGGAAATTCTTGGTATTCTTTGGAAGTTGGTAGATTTCCTTTTGGTATACCCTGGATTTTTTATATTATTTATCGCCAGATCATGTGGTAACGTTAAGAGGTATGGATAACATTTTACTTGAGTTTACGAACTATTTTCCATTTTAACTAGAATTCTATGCATTGAAAGTATACAAATTTAACTTTAACTTCTTAGACCATAGTTTTTAATTAATGGATTAGATTTACTAGATAATGTGGTTGTAATTCAATGCTACATGGCGGTAGTGCTTTAGTTGTTTCCTACAATAACATTACTTGTTCATTAATTAAAGGCTTGTCTTTAAAGTTGCTTTTTTTAATAAGCTTGGTACCTTCTTCTAAAATAAAACATCTCTTGTTTCTAGTTACTGATGTTCTCGATTATGTTGAATAAAATCTTTTTAGTTAGGTATTTTTAATGTTAAGGAGTTCATGTATTAAATTAGTATACTAGTGTGAGTCTAACGTTTTTGCATTTTTAAAATGCTTAACAAAAAAAATTGGGGCTTTCGAAAATACGAAAAGGATATTTTTCACAAATACTAAGTATGAAAGCGATAGGTCTATCTTTAATAGAAGAGAATATGAAGATGGGTATGACAAAGATTTGATAGCGTAGATATTTAAAGTTTCCAAAACTCTTATTTACACATTCCTACTCTCTTATTATTAGAGACAGGGTTTTGGAATAAAGTACCATAAATTCCGCAGCTGATAGAACATAAAAAAATCTTCTCGAACTATGCGAACTATTTTGTTGTCAGATAATTTTTTAAATCAGATTTTGGCTATATCATCCAAAAAACAATGTGATGTAATAAAGTTTTTTGGGGTGCTAAATACGTTGGAGATATTAGTTTTTGACCTGATTTTATGACAACTTTTTTGATGTTTTTTTTACAGTAGGTATATTAAAAAATTGTATTTTATAAAAACGAAACTCTTGTTAAAATTGCTGAAAACACCCCAAAGAGAACCAGTTTCTACTCCATAATATATAAAATGCCTAAAAACGAATGAGCCATACTTCAAAGGTAGTAGATTGCTTCCTTAAAAAGTAGTTAAAATTGAATCAAATAATCGTATTGAAAGCCGATAACTTAAGCGAAAATCGTTTACGACGTAAAGAATTTAACTTTAAAGAAGGTATGTCAAAACATGTCATAAAAAATGATCGTATTTAATGACCTCTAACGTATGATCCTCAAAAACTTATCGGTACCAAATTTCAATATATTAAACTATTTTTTAGATTGATTTAGATAATTTTAAAATAATCATATTTGACATACATAGGCTCATGGCCTACAGGAAAAAATGGGTTTTATTGATCTTGAAGAAAACAAATGTATGCAATAAATATGAACGTGTCGAGTATTGTTATTTGAAAAATTAAGCATTTACGAAAAAAAAATATTCTCATTTCAATCTTTACATCAAACTCGAATAATAAATTCTATATTTAATCATATTATTTTTATTTTATACCATACAGCAATAATGTCCATTTCTATTAACATTAATTCAAGTTAATCATAATTCCAGAATTTGAGAGGCTTAATGGCACTGTGATAACTTAACTTCACCGTAGTTTGGGAAAAAACGTAAAATATTGGAAAATTTTATGGCACCCTATTTGTGAGAACATTTTTAATGTAAATAATTTGACTAGTATTTTCCCCGAGATTTTTCCTCAGTTTTCATTTAATTACTTCGGTAGGTAACAAAAATGCTTATGGATCTAAAAGGGCTGACAAGTATTTGTTTCGCTTTAAATTATTTTCCCCGTTTTTACGACAAAACGATTGGCGTGCCTAAGTTTATCTCCATATCTAAAAATTCATAACGTCAGGACCATCTTCCTTTGCTTTGTTGTCAACTATAATGTAGATATATTTTTCAAAATACACGTTGTTATTCAAGTGGAAACACTTCTACGCCCATCTGTCGGCTTTCTTTAAATAAAATACCAGCAACCACGCATACTAATCGACAAACCGAAATACATTATTCATTCCCGTTTCTCAGTTGCTTAAAATATCCTCCATTAAAAGCCAAGAACCAGCGAGCCAACATAAAAGAACGCGTAACCCAATGATTACCGTCATTAATTATATACAACGCGCAGAAGATTGATATATACAAGTCTCGTTTGATTCATTGTTTATGGCCACAATAAAATTAAGATGATTAATAAACCGAGAGAGAGAAAGGCCGTTCCGCAGAGGCAGCAGTAAACATTACGTCAAGATACGTGTATTGCTGCAAACATCCTGAAAATTATACAAACACGCCACATGTCAGGGAGATGTGTGTGTGCGTAATCGAGTTACACAGAACCTGCTGTGCGTTGAATAAGACTTGTGATAATAGAATGGCATGTGTGCCTCGAATGGTAAGCGGCTTTATCCGTGAGATATATGGCCCTAGCTAGATATCCATGCCACCGCGTCGTTCGAGGGGAAATTGATTATAAATGTACGCCGATGAAAGCTACGACTTATGATTATTATTTTCCGTATAATCCATTTCGGCGTATTAAAATTCCGCTGCGTTCCATCTTTTGATGTAGAAACGAATTAATTTTCTAATTATTAAATATTAAATGATGTATCATTCTTATTTGATGGTACCGAGGTGTGGAGACGATAATATAGAAAATTTAATTTTTTACACTATTTTAAATAGTTTGCTATTTTATTCGCTAAACTTAATTCAAAGCTTCTTTTAATTTACTGTGATTTCGAAGGTCAGTTCACTATAAAATAATTATTACAAAAATAACTGTATATTGCTCTATACATTTTGAACTCAGCAGGTTTATCCCTTGTCACATTTTAGGAATCTCTAAATGGATTTGCATGAAGTTGATAAACTGAGGGTATAATTAAAACAAAGAGAGGTCTTTAATTGGTAGAATCATGTCTAGGAAAGATAATTAAAATTTTACGAAATTTTCTTACGATTTCAAGGAAATATATAAAAAATATCAAAAGAAATAATTTACTGTTGCATTTCGAAGATATGAACCAAACTTTTATTTTTTTTTAATGGAACACCCTGTATATTTGTGGTTTTATTTTGGTTTACTTTTGCATTTTGAACATATAAACTAAACTTTTTTTTATTTAAATGGAACATCCTTTATATTTGTTTTTGGGGTTTTCTCTCTTTCTTCTGATTACAATAATATAGTTACAGGGTGTCCAGAAAGCTCATGTCAAAAATGAAGGGGTATACAGGAGAGCTCAAAATAGTTGTAGTATATACTTCATAACAACAAATTTCCTATCGGGCTTCGTTGCGGAGTTATTCGCCTTCAAAGAAAGAAGTTTGAAAAACAAATTCCAATTATAACTCCTAAGTCGTTACCATGACAACAATGAAATTTGGATAATTAAAGTAAGTAACTCAGGGTAATGTTCATTTCCAAGTTTAAACTGATATTCAAAGTGCCTGAATTATACAGGAGCAGACGAAATTATCCATTGTTGTCATGACAACGACTTGATATAGTAGTATATAATTGGATTTTGTTTTTCAAACTTCTTTCTTTGGAGGCAAACGACTCCACAGCGAAGCCCGAATGGAAAATATTTTTTATGAACCACTATAACTATTTTGAGCTCCCCTGTATAGGTACCCCGTCATTTTTGACATGACCTTTCCGGACACCCTGTATACATGTCACATATTTGTTTTGACAGTTTTCATTATTTCATTCACTCAGGATTGCCATTAAACCATTGCATTAAATTTACTAAATAGGGCTTTAAATATTTTATTTAAAAAATACTACACTAAAAAAGATGTTTTTTAATCCCATTATGTTTTAAACAAAGGAAATTTTTTTCTATTTACCTTGTGAAGGGATAATTTTATGATCAACAGGAAATCCAAATTTATCCTCCATGTGCTCGTAGTTCTTTCTATGGGGGATTCTAAAAGACGCAACAAAAAAAAATCTAATAGTTTATGTAACCTAAGAGAAAAAAAGCATATCCATAACATGGCATTATAACTGTATAAAAATTGTTTGCAATATAATGTCCTTCGTCTAGAACAGGATAAAGGTATTGTAAAACACCATTAATGAGATATTTTTTCTTAATAAGAATTTAAAGATTTGTTTAATAAATTTAGCAACGGAAAGAAACTAAACCATTGTGCAATCAAAGCAAATATATGACGTAGACAAAAAGAGAGAGGAATTTAAAAACGACAAATATATAAGGTATTCCATTTAAAAAACCAAAAGTTTAATTTATATCTTTGAAAACCAATACTAAATTGTTTATATATACATATTTCTTTGACATGGTAAGAAAATTTCCTAATACTTTGGTCCTTACCATTGTTTCCTAGGAAGAGAGTTAAGAATGTTATGTGAATNAGAAAGCTCATGTCAAAAATGAAGGGGTATACAGGAGAGCTCAAAATAGTAGCAGTACTTCATAATTGTTTTTCCTATCGGGCTTCGTTGAGGAGTTATTCGCCTTCAAAGAAAGAAGTTTGAAAAACAAATTCCAATTATAACTTCTAAGTCGTTACCATGACAACAATGAAATTTGAATAATTAAAGTAAGTAACTCAGGGTAATGTTCATTTCCAAGTTTAAACTGATTCAATGTACCTGAATTATACAAGAGCAGACGAAATTATCCATTGT